TATCGAGATCCTCAACGACATGGTGTGGAAGTACAACATCGTCACTTTAGACCGGCTCATTTTGTGTTTGGTGAGCAATTCTACATCATTTTGTTGTTCATTCATGCTGAAAGGTGTTATGCCAACCCCAATACATGCATGAGTTCTATTAAAGTGTTTGATCAATGGCTACCACATTACAAACATGTTCAGGAAAAGGCTCGTTTTTCACTTGCCTGCCTTTTTAAGCGTGTGCATCTGTGCCAGCTGATCAGAGAGACGATTATGTCTGAGGGTTCATGTGGGAGAGGATATGACGCTTAATGGGCAGCGAGTGTTGGCCAAACCAAACATGGAGTTTTGAGGCTACATCTTTTAGAAATTCGAGTGCGAAATACAATACATATGGGCCCTTTTCATATTGGAAAAGAGGAATTGCAGGTGTATGAAGCATGGGTAACCAAAAGAGGGAACGCATGAGAGAGTATCCAGACAAAATGAAATCTGGAGGAGAACTGTGAGAAGAGTCTAAAAAAGTTCTCTCTCATTGAAAGATAAGTGTAATTCCACCTATTGTGTTTTATATAAGTAAAGACCTATTAATGAAGTTCAGCGGAATACCCATTTATTGGAAGGCTGCAAGCAACACAGCAAATAATCCTTAAACTTGAGGGAGTGGCACAGTGGAAGTGATGGAAAAAAACATTTAAAACTCTTTGGTTTCTGTAATCTTGTGCGTTTCTGGAGAAGGGCGAAATAGCACAGCTGGTACACATGTACAAGACAACAGAAACAAGGACAGAGCAGGAATGTTCTCTCAGATTAACTTAACTAGCTTACACGAAGATTCTTGGGAATCCTAACCAGTTTAGAACAACTATTACTTGAGTTAGTGACATTTTAAAAACATATCTTAGTACTTTTAATAGTCTTGAGAAATCAACTGTGTTGAGAATATCAAAACAACCGCTGTGGTAAATGTAAGACATACCTGTGACAAACCTTTTAAGCATTTAACACATTTTTAATTCATTTCTTTATTGCCATGTCAACAAAGTTGGAATTAGAGTTTTCCCCAGTGCAGGAAAAAAAACAGAACACAAATGAGACTTACACAAACACAGTACATATTATTCTGTCGATCGAAGGTCTGTTCCACTTACATTTATGTTCACTCCAATGTGATAGTTGCAACATTCAAGATCTCCATGTTTAAGTGCCTTGTAGCCTCTAGACAGGTGCTATTTAGGAAACAGGCAGGACTATGTCTGATGCTCCCCAAAGGGAGAAGTCTAAAGGGGGAGCTGGCGTGAAGAAAGGGGTCTCTGGACACCTTTTTAGCTCTCGGTTGGACCTGAACGTCTTCAGCTGTTGTTGGGAGCACAGCATTCGATGTGGCTCCCTCATGATGAGGCTGGTGTTAACGTCCCACTTCACAGAGTGTCAGATGGCCGAGACATGAAACTTGAAGGAGTCAAGTTACTGACTCCATTACTGACATTTGGCAGCAGATCACCTCCTCCCCTATGAAAGACCACCAGCGACTTTTTAGTCTTACCAATGTTAAGCACCAAATGATTGTTACTGCATCCCTTGTCCAGTACACTGCCCTCACTGCTATGTGCTGTATTTCTCAGTATTGCAGATATAGCCCACAACAATATGTAACCAGTACTAGAAATCTATTTCTACATCTGTATTGTCATTGTATAATTCTGCATAGTGGATTTTACATCTGCACATACCTGATTTATATGTTTACAATTCCAGGAGCCACGTTCACCTTCACATACAGTACATTATCCTCCCGCAAGTCCGGAGAAGGTGAATTACTGCACAGAATAGGACGTCAGGTTTGTGTTCTTCTTCTCCAGGCCATGAGAAGCCATGAAGGTAACGAGGCCCAGGTCTGCTACTTCATCATTCAGCTGCTGTTGCTGAAGCCCAAC